AAAATATGTCCGAATTGTGGTCAGCTTCAAAAGCTTTTATTATTAGCGCTGTTTTTCTTTTCAGTTGTGAGCTCCCTGAGATCAGAAATTCGTATTTGTATCACATGCGTATCTTTCCTAACATAGTTATCTGCGTGGTACTGTTAGTTGGTCATATAGCGCTTATCCAGCATGTATTATTACTGCCATTGTTTTTGCTGGCTTCCGTTGTCATTTCAGGGGGGAAGGTCTTGTCCCTACCACTCCGAGTTGGGAAACAATTGAGAAGTATTATACACAGGCATCAGACGGGGATCAAGCACAGCTTTATGGCTGCGGATCACACTGAAATAGAGGCCAAGGTGGGAACCCAACTCTTTCTCCTCCGGAATGAACTTAGACACTCAGTCACTTGGCAGATGCAAACTGGCGCCCACGAGCACAGCTAGTTTCTCACATGAAGGGGGATAAACTGAGGGCCGATGAGGCTGGGTTTTGCAGAGAGCAGACACCAGCCCTCCCACAAGGCTCCAGTCTTGGATACCTTCTCTCCACACCTCCCCCTGCCGGCCTTCTGCGAGGCTTCCTTCAGTCTTTGCAGCCATCCTGTTAACACGGTGTTTTACAAGTTTGCTGGAGACGTGCTAATATTGGAAGTCATGGCCAAAGGCTACAAATGCTGCCCCCATCGCTCTCGTTGTCCAGGGCTTGCTTGCTGCCGTGAGCTGACCGCTGTGGGCAGGCAGGTCTGAATGACAGAGCCAGAGAGGCCAGGCCCCACACGTGACCCTTCCAGCTACTCACCAATTAAGTCAGTCACTCCTCCCTTAAGGAGACAGGAATTGAGTGATTCAAGAGAAAGGTAGAAGCTTCCTCCCCAAAACATCTGATGGTAGATCCAGGCCTGAAGCTTATATAATTTGGATGATCCTCTTTAAAAAAAAAAAAAAAAAAAAAAGAATTGCAAGTGTAAAATTAGGTAGAAGGTTTGGAAGAGGCTTGTGTTATAGTTTTACAATAAATCCTACTCTGCTCTTGCAAAGGCAGAAATACCTATTTTAGTGTGCCAATCTATTAGCATACCCTCAGATACAATAATTCAACTTGCAAGCAAACGAACCTGACCTCACTTAAATAATAAAGAGCAGTCAGTGGCTCACATTAATGAAGAGTCCAGTTGTTGGACAGGCTCCATGATTGGTTGATTCAGCAGCTGAGCAATGTCCTAATGACCCAGTTTCTTTCCTCTGTGTTGTCCACAGTGCGGTGGTTCCCTTCAGGTTTACAGCACGAATGCCAGCAGCAATGAGGATGACCAACTCACTCTTTCCTGTTAGAAGAGCCTCAACCTTAGGACAAAAGCCCTGATCTTCAGACCAGGGCCTGTTGGATTCAAGAGTCCAAGTGACTAAGGCTAAAATCAAGAACTGGGCCAAAAGGGACAGGGTCACCTAAAGGTCAGGCAACCAGGGCCCACCTCTGCAGGTAAGACTAAGGATAGGATACGGCTCATCCTAATCAGGTGGCTGCTTTGTGATGGAGAGCAACTGAGGCTCGAAAAACATCCACTATCTTCAACCAGAGGTTAGAGTATGCAATACCAGGCTAAATGCATTGAGAGTTGTCCAGATACTTGTTTGATTCACATTTCCCCCAATCTTCATTTGCTTCTACCATGAGACTGATAGCCAGGCGGGCCCTAGTCTATCCAGCACCTAGAGTAAGTGCTCAGAACTGATTGAGAGAACATATGAATAAATCACGAACTTGGAAGAAACAACCGGTTGGAGCATTACATAGGTAACTGCAATGGTTTACGTGAAAATGAAACTATGCAAGAATATAAAGTCAAAACGACAAAGAGATTTAGAGATTACTGGATGTGAGCTGAATTGACAAATCAGGTCAGAACCACAGGTCTTACCAAAGAAAGCGGAGGAAGGATAAAAGGCTCTTGAAGCTCTAACATGTCGGAGGGGTTCAAAAATATTTCACAAGAAACAGAAAGATAAGTGAAAAGTGATGGATAGTTAAGTAACTATTTTATTTTGACACTCTATGGGGAGGGCAATGAGGTTTAACGTAAGCACTACATTTGTAGGTGTACACTGGAATACCTTAAGCTGAAGGTAATGATTTAACATATTTTTCTGTAGAAAAGTAAAGCCAAAAGCAAGTGCTTTTTCTTAGTGTGACAAAGCTACTGGAGAGGAAGGATTGTGTAACCGTTTTTGCATGATCTCTTATTTTCCATTTTTAGTATCTTTCATTCTCCTGAAATGGACAAAAATCTAAGCCTTGAAACTCAGATTACATTTTAAACATAATAAGCTTTTTTCTTGAAACAAAATAGCTCATTGGTTAAGACTCGGGTAAATATTTATTTTTGGAACTGAAATATCGGTTCCATATTTTTTGGACTTCCGGTGCAAATTTTTGAATATTCAGTTTTACCAATCAAGTCGCACCTGTTCTGGGCAATGTGGTGGTATGTGTGGCAGAGTTCATTCAGGGTGGGGTGGTTAGACTGCAATGGTGTTAAACCAAGGTTCCACCTCAGGAAGCTCGGAATGTTAGGCAGGAGACTGGAGAAGGTCCACAGCCTGCCAAGCACTTCAGCTATTCTGATAAACAATCTGATTACTGATGCTGACTCTCGCATACTCAACTGGTTATCCAAGTCCTATACTTGATGCTTGTTGTGAAGGTAGTAGTTGAACCACCCTTCCCATTGACAGCCCTTCATTGGTCTATTTAAATACCATTTGCTATTAATATGTCAGTATGCCTCAAACCACGGCAAAGTTCCCTATGGCCACACGCTCTGCCTTGGCTCTCTGTACATGGCTGGTATTGAAGAATGGAGTGGGTTTAAAAAAAAAAAAGGATGTATGTGTAAGAAAAAAACATGCATAAAATGGTATAATTTTAGGGAAGTAGATTCAATTCTTAATTTGTCTGAAAATGGAATCAACAGCATAGAAAAGGTCTTTGAAAGTTAAAGGCAAAGTTATAAGAAAGTTGTGTGCAAGAATACCATGATAATTAATGTTTTCTGCCTAAAGAATCTGATTTTGCCACACCACTTAACCACCAATTAATCTCCTCTCACAGGGTAAAAAAATGTGCTTGGTGACATGTTCAAAGTGCCCTCAGCAGTATTTAAGGTGAATGATCTTCGATCCACATAGCCATTTATACACGAAAAGATGGGAGTACTCTAGGTCCAAGGTAATCCAACCTATTTGCACGTTACACATTTGCCTAGAATAAAGCCAGAAGCTTACAAAGACTTCTAGTGGCAGATACCATCTGCCCTACCCCACTTATCTCCCATACTTACCTACTTCTTTCCCTGCTTCCTTCTGCTGCACCCACACGGACTTCCTGCAGAACACGCCAGGCCCATTCTCACACTGGAACCTTCATACAAGCTACTTCGTCTGCCTGGACTCCTCTTCCCCGGGCACCCACAAACCTCCCTCCCTCACCTCCTCCAAATCTCTGCTCAAACGTCACTTCGTCGGTAACGCCAATGCCACCCATCTTATTTAACATTGCAACTCTCCCCACTCTTGATCTCCCTTACTCTTTTTCTGTTTGGTACTTATCACCTGCTAACATCCAACATAAGTTTCCTTATGTAGGATGCTACATAACACCTGGATTCATTTCTCATCCAGATCGAAAACATCATAAGGGAGGAATTCCTTGTCTTTTTTGGTTCTCTGCTTGTCCTACAATGCTTGGTACACTGTAAATTGACAGTAAATATTTGTCGGGTTAGTGAACATTTCTACAATCTGCTTGCTTACTGTTGAATCAGAAACCACTTTGATCATGTGGTATGTTTCAAAAGTCAAACTTCCTCCTCCAAGAGAAACACTCATCTAGCATCCCCCCCCAAAAAAAAATGTCTAGGGGGAAAAAACCCTCGAAACATCAAATTCTCATTTCCAAATCTCCAACAAAAAATTGTTTTTCTAAGGAATACAAATGGGTAAAATTGCAATTTCACAGAATCACATGCGCAAGACAAAAATAAATATACGAAGATGTTAGTGACTGCATTCTGAGTTTTACATAAACAAAGAATGCTAGCTGAAATGTCAAAGCCCCATCAGAAACTGGAACCCAGAGAGACTTTCCTGTTGGGCTTATTACTAACTCATCCTACGAGGGTGATAGCGTCCACAGAAGCACGGATGCCAAACAAATACCTGCTTTTCAGGTGCAGGCTGCCCTCCCCCCGGGTTTAGCACAGCTCAGAACACACAGCCGCTGGATGGCGGAATACATCAGGAAGGTGCGCGCCTCTCAGTAACTGAAGCCAAAATTCGGTGACCGGTCACTCCGCTGTGAAAGCCTAAATGAGTTAACTCACAGCCTGGGGTCTCCGTGGGGTACTCCCTACCGCCCCTTGACACCTGGGCCTGTCCAGTGACCCCAGGGTCAGGCTGAATAACCTCACTCACTTCGGGCTTGCCCTCCTCAAAAGGCAAAGACGGGTCGGGGTCGCGTGTTAGGTAGCGTTTTACGACTTTTGTGACTAGGGTCTGTTTCGCGGGCAATTAACACCGAGTGGACTGAGCGCGGACCTCACCCTGGGCCGTTCAGGGATGTTGCACAGGTGGCACGGGCCCGGAGAGCAGCGGGACCTCACTCCTCGGTGCCACTCGAGGTTGGGACCCCAAATGACCCCCACACCCGGCTTCGAGGACCAGCCGAGGTTTCTCGGAGCTAGACCCGGTGAAGTCACAGCGGTCTGGGCGGGGCTCCGGCTCGACCCAACCACTGCCCGCGCGGAGGGGTGTCCGACCAAGAGCACGGCCCTAGCGCGAGCACTGGCGAGTACCCTCGGGGTCCCTGCCCCACGCCGAAAGCCTCCCAGCTCTCGTCGCCCTGTTTTCGCGACACCGATAAGCCCCATCCTGTCCTTCCCGCCCGTCTCCTCTGCTCCCTACCCAGCTCCCCACCTCGAGTGGTGCAGCCCGGGTGGTAGGTCACGTGGCGGCGGGGCGTGGCCTGCTTCCAGCCTTGGAGGTGTCTATCGAGGCCTCCGCCAGCATCTCGGAGCGGCTTCGGCGGCTGGAACGATGCAGGGCAGGAGTAGCCTAACCTTCGTCTTTCTGACCGTGGCCGTCATCTGGGCCGTGGCGCAGCACGCGCCGCCGGTGGGTGAGCTGGCTCGGGGGGCGCGCAGGTGCGGGCGTGGCAGGTAGGGCGGGGCGCTAGGAACACCTGGTCCGGGCAGCATCTTTACAGGTGTCCGTGGTTACCAGCGCGCGGGGTGGGGGGTGGGGGGTGGGCTCACACTACTCGCGGAATTGACTCGGCACAGCTGGAACCTTTTAGGGAAATCCTGATCTCTGCAGGATGGTGCTTGTGATTTACACACCCTAAAATTTCAGGGATTGCGCTTGTTCTACGAGTTCCGGGCTTGTGCATTCTGAACTGCTGAGAGAAAAAGTTCCAGTCGACTTGCGTACATAACTCGGTTAAGCGGGGGACTGCTTGATGACTTCGGCATTCTCTGCGCGGTGACGAGCTGCTGAAGTTGCAGCCCTGGATCCTGAGTGCATTGGGGAAGGCCTAGGCGTCCCCCAGTCGGGGACGTGGGAGCAGCCCAGGCAGGCCCCATGTGGCGGCTGCACCCTCACCCCAGTCATGTGAACGCCCGTCCCGTGGCTCTTTCCCGGGTAGGAAGTCCCAGGAACACAGATGCAACTGCAAGAGGCAGCGAGGCCCCAGCCTGACTCTCCTTTTACAGAGGAGGAAGTGGATTAGTGACAGAATGTCTAGCCAGAGGTCACACTTTTGTCTGCTGGAGCACGCTGACCTCAAGCCTCTTGACACCCAGGCTGGTGCTCTTTCATAAGCCTCTTCTTTCAAAGCATCAAGGCTACATTTTTCTTTGTCAGCTAATCAGATAAAGAGGACTTGGGTGCACCTGACCTGAGACTAGTCGAGGGTGAACTTGAATAGCTTAGCTAGGATACTGATAGTAGGACCACAGTGTGTGTCTTAATTCTTTTATTACTCTAAGGAGAAATGCTTTACGAATAAAGTCATGGCAGAATATTATTCAGCCTTTAAAAGTTATGTTAAGCAAGTAAAGGCAGAATACAGAATACTATGTGCAGTGATTTCAATCACGGGCAAATGCACAGTATACATGGGAAGACAAGGATTGGAAGAGCATAAGGGGAAATAAAATTAGTATGCTTTAGTGTGAATAAGGAATTAATTTGCTTTGAAGTGGTTGGAATTTCGTGAATTTTTAAGGAATTTGTTCCTTTGACACTGTCCGTGACCTTCAGCCAACCTCCCCTTCCCCTCAGGAAACATAGCTGTAGTTGAACAAAGTATTATTCTCTGTGGTGAGGGAGAGCCCACCATGGGCAACTGTGGGGCCTTTCAGCACAAAGTAGAAAAAACCTGTTTCGTCGTTTGCAGTTTGGTTGTGTGATTTGGAGACAGGTTGAAGGAATTGTGGGTTGCTGTACATTGAATGCTTTTAGGAAGTGGAGCCATTCCAGGATTGGGTAATAAACAGTCAAGTTAGCAAGAGAAGGGGTGTTCGGTGTTTGGTGGGTTGCCTAGTACTCTTGTTTTTGTCTGTGCTGAGACAGAATCGTGAGTGGCCCTGCTTTTATCTCGTCCCCGGGGAAGCTTCGCTGAGGTGGGGATGCTGTGAGGTTGGTTGTATCCAGGACGAGAACAGCCGTAGCCTGGCCCTGTGTGTCCGACCGGCGTGCGATAATACTGAGGTCTGGTTGTGAACTTCAGACACGCTGCAGGTGTCAGGGGACCTCTACACTTTACCATTCCAAGCGACAGTATTTCAAAGGCTCTTTCTGAAACAAGAAGACGCAGCAGTCTTCATGAATTGAACAGTTCTTACCTGCCACAGTGGTTGTGAAAATCTCGTCCTGCTACTGGTGTCCATGTGGGAAGCTGCTTTCCTAAGTCTTTAATGGAATGAGAAAAAATGAGGGCGTGAAGCTAAAATTATTAAATCAGAATGCTCACTGTTATTCTGATTTTACGGCTTTTCAATTTTTGTTGTTAAAACATTCTTTCTGTTACGTTTGTGGGGTTTTGCTTTGTTTGGTTTAACATCGCCTCCTGGGAGCATCAAGAATCGGACTCCCGTGCGCTGGGGTCCCTGTTCCTTTTTTCACTGATCTGGGAAATTCTGGGAGCCTCTGGCTGGAAGCTACAGACGTTTCATGACCTCAGTCTCTGACAAGAGCATGCAGTTGTTAACTTTGAATCATTTTATATGATAAGCTGCTGGTAACCACGTAGGGACAAAAGATACTTCAAAACTGCTTCTGACGCATGTGAATAATGAGGACCCGCTTTAAGTCACAAACAAAAAATCATATGACTCTCGGAATGTCTGTGGGCTTTGTTTCTTCTTGTTTTTGAGGCCTTTCAGACTCTAGCCTATTGTGAGGACTTCCTGAGTCATCCTTTCCTATTGATTCCATGAGGAGACCCGTGAAGAGACGGTGGCCCCGAGGGTGACGCAGAAGTACCGGGAGAGGGCTCTTAGACCTTGTTCATGATTTTGGACTCTGTCCTAAAAACCGTGGGAAGCCATTGGGTCGTTTTAAACGAGATATGACACAATAAAATTTTCCCTTTAAAAAGAGCACTTTGGACTGGGAGGAGCCGAGGGTGGACGCCAGGAGACTGGTGCAGGGGAGGAAATGGGATGATGCGTGGGAGGGTGGTGGCGGTGGAGGAGGAGAGAAGGGGACGGCTCTGGAGAAGACGAGGGGCAGAGTGAGCGGAAGGAGGATGGGTTGGACGACAGGAGGGACAGGCCCCTGTCTGAGGTGCTCAGCTGGGCGAAGGGTGGCATCACTACCAGGGAACACGGCAGGCCAACGTTCGGGAGTGGAAGAAAGATCATTTTCATTCTGGGTATATTGGACTCCCAGTGGCAATGAGCTACCTAGTGGACCTTTTGCACGGGAGCTCAGGGGGAGGTCTGGGGGGTTGCAGGCACCTTACTGGGAGCCACTGGAGCAGGTGAACATCGAGCGGAGAGAGGATCTAGGAAGAGGAGTGATGACGCCTAGGCAAAGGCCGAGGGACCTGCTCAGGCAGCGTCCAGTGGGGAAGAACTGACCGAGTCAAAGCAGCAGCCACAATGGAGGAGCGAGTGCTGTGGGAGCTCGGAGAGTGTGGGGCAGGTTCCCTGGGCCGAATGCCATTGAGGTGTCCGCTGTGCTTGGCACCCGGCGGTCATCGGCCACCTTGGCCAGTGCAGGGTTGGGAGCGGCTAACGGGTGCAGCCAGCTGAGGAGCTACCAGAAGGCAAGGAATCCGAGTCGGGGAGATGACTCTTCTCGTGAATAAATCTGAGCGGATTCCTAAAGTACGTGAAAAAGATACATAATGGCTCAGTAAGTAATTGCTGGATTAAACTTATTTTCATGCATCAGCTTCTCATGTGAGTAGTAGCACTCTTGACAGGAGCTAACTGAATTAGGTTTTAGCAATGATTTCCACCAAGTTCCCAGAAGTCCCGTAAACCCCACCTGGCCCGGCCAGTTTTATTGTAAGTGCATCTGCTGTTCCACGGCACTGCAAAGGAAGGGACACGCAGGTGTGGTCTGTCCCTTGCCCAGCAAATATCGCGTGCCCCTGTGTGCCAGCTTCTGTTCGAGATGCGGGAAGCAGGTCGATGCGCAAGAGGAAAGGTGCCTGCCCTCATGGAGGGTTTGTTCACATTTCTTTTACCTAAACATCCCCAGTGTCATTGGGTACCTTCCCACCAAAAGTCAGAACACAAAGGAAAAACTTTGCATGCTCATTTGAGCTTGACATATATGCAGGAAACATGCCTTTTCTCATCCAGTAGGTGTGTGTCTGCTCCGTTGTATACAGAGAACATTTTAAGAAAAATCTTAGAATATAGTTGTCGAGTTAAAGAATTGAATTAAAATTGCCTCCTAGGATTGTTCAGCTTCTTTTCTGATGGCGTGAACACTGGTGTGAGCTGTATAATTTCTTTCAATTACCTTTGATTGTCGTTTTCTGAGGATGTGAATGAGACAGGAACATGAGAGCTCTCTGTACCTTTTTGTGCGCCTTTCCAGTGAGGTTCTCACCAGTTCCGCAGGACTCAGTGTTTGAAGGAGTTGCACAAGTGACATCATTTCTTTTAGGGTGGAGCATTTAAGTCGCTAATGGGAAAAATGATCATTTATATATTGTCTTCCTGAATATAGTGTCTCCAGTAGCTTTATAATTAGTTTTTCTTAATGAGTGGAGAGGACATGAAGATTATTTAATTTCAAAGAGGTTCCAGTTCCTATCAAATAACCAGAATAATCAGAGAATTCGCTAACCCAGAAAGTGTTCACCAAAAATGTCTTCCAGAGATTTTCCAGCATTTCCTCTGGCCTTAGGAAGCAAAGATGAGAAAGGGCACGTGAGAGAAACTGAGATTTTAGGTGGGTTGTGTGTATTTCCCGTAATATACCAAGCAGACTGTTTAATCGCGCTGACCTATCACCTATAATCTTTACCTCTCATCTATTTAAATTTGTACTTACCTTGACAAGGTTGTCTATTATTAAGTCCATGTGTACTTAAATTTGGAGACGGTAAGACACTTGAATAACAGGTGAGCTCACTGTAAGTCTGTTGAAGCCTGTACATAGATTCTGAAGCTCCCTTTCCTCACAGAAGTCTCCCTTGTGGGGCAGGATGTGGCGGCCTCCACTCCACCCCCAGAGTTCACCTGGTTAAAATGGCCTTTTTGCCTTTTACTCTTACAGCCGGCCTCTATGCAGATTTCATGTCTGTGTTAGAATTTCCTGTTCACTGCTGCTGGGGCGATCGTAGCACAACATCTTATGCCCTCAGACTCCTTCCTACCTGTATGGTGGCCAGGCCACTCTCTCACCTCTGGGGCAGGTCACGTTATGTCCTGAGACGTGACAGAGAACGTGTAACTCCCCCCACAGTGGTCTCATCAGAGATAAGCCTTGTCGTTTGATTTTAATGTTGGCTTTGGAACCCAGGTCGTGCAACTATAACCATTCAGGAGAGATGAACATGGTTATGTTGCACTTATTTGCTGAGTGGATTCCAGTGGTCACTGAAACCCTGAAGCAAGTACAGATTGTGGCTGATCTGGGATTACATGGAG